ACGGGGGTCAGGTCAGTAGACTTTGGATGGTGTTTGACTTTTTGGGGGCAGATTGAGCAGTAAATTTATCGTGCTAGTGTCAACTCCCAGAGAATTTATATATAGTGCCCTTGGATTGGCTGACCATAATCTCTTGTAACCAACGCTAACGCTGGATAGATTCGATTTCTTCGTTTGTTCTGCAACATTGGTCGTCATCATTGCCGTTTTTGCTCAGGTACACTACAGGGAAAGCTTCTGAGGCACAAGACACCAGTGTCTCTGGAACTAGGACTTCCCAGTGCAAGGGAAATGAGAGCCCTGCGTGGGAGCAAGAAAAGATGAAGCCGCTGGGAGCATATCAGGAAACAGGCAACCAAAGACTTTAACCAACATCGGTCCTTCCTACTTGAACATAGTAACAAGAAGCTACTAGTAGCAAGTGCATCGCTACTAGTAACAAGGGCATCGCTACTAGTAGCAAGTATCTCGCAATTTCGGCCCAAGAGAGAGACGCTTACACGTTGCACCGCTGGTGCAGTGAACCGTGATCGATGAGTGACTACTTGTCCACTGGGGGTGTCCGTGCCCCCCGAAATCTTGGTGGACACCTCACGACGGAGTAGCTCTACACCAGTTCCTAAGGATGAACTTTTTCTGGAAGGCTACGGCCGACAATTTGGTGAAAAGATGACCTACAGCATTGGCTTGACCTACGGTGCTGGACTTCTCACCGGTGGCTTCTACGGTGGACTACTTGGAATTAGACAAGGTGGTGCCACACCGAAGCTGTTCCTGAACTCAGTACTGAACTCCTGCAGTCGGTACGGTCCGGCTTTGGCCAATCAGTCAGCCATTATCACCATGTACTACGTGCTCTTCAATGGCTTGGTCAGCACTTTTCGATCAGATGACACTGCTAATTCGGCAGTGGCTGGTGCTTGCGCAGGGGCCATGTACAAAGCTGCTAGCAGATCTCTTGAGTCAATAGGGAGATATTCAGTTGCTAGCTGTGCATTCTTCACAGGCATAGACTACCTGATGCGCACCGGACGATTTTGATGTTGAACCAGCGATGTGTCTTGGGCGTTTGCCCCAGTACAGTCAACGACAGCGTTGTCAATGCGTGGCCAAACAAACATTTTGTGTGGTGCAGCACCATTGCATCACTCGACGAGTTTGTAGATGCGCTTGTGCACAGAGTTTGCCTAGATTCGGTGAAGTAGTTAAGGTGGCATTCTCAGCAATTTGCTTTTTCAAAGCAGTATCCCAAAGAACGGTTGTAGCATTACTGCTTCAATTCTCTACATTTCTAGATTAGATACCCTAAGAAAACCCAAGCATCCAATTCACTCTCCTCAAGTGTCAGAGTACACACAGCCTCGCATCGCACCAGCCTTACCATTAAATATACTCTAGATAAACTCACAATTGAGAACACATGGCTCAACCCAAGCTTTGATGTGATATGAAACGGCAGTCAACCAACTTGGCTCGTGCTTGCTATCCAAGAATGGCCATGTTCTCGTTGCATTTGCCCAAGACAGCAGCCAGCTGGGAGCTGAGCGGCTTTGGATGGATGAACACCAGACTTGTACTGGCTCCTCAAGTATGTAGTCGGCTTTTCTTGTATTGTTCCACAAGAAGTTGAGTTATACCGCACTCGCTTGGTAAGAGCAGTTAGACAGTATCACCAATTAGTTGATACAACAAGTTTGGAGGAATGCAGCTTGATAGTGACACCATGTGACACCCTTGACCTTGACACATAAAGAATACAGGAGTTGTTGCAGGAGTTTCTTCTTTGTGATGTTGGAAAACAGGTTTGTTCACACAACATTGGTCAGCGGCTGACATGCACGGCATGGCATGCTGGTTCCACAGCGACATTCACAAATGCATGTTTGCACATGTTTTTTTTGCACACTGCAAAATGAAGGGGTGCACTGCAGACATATGTTCGGCATGCAGTGTGCCATATGACTTTGACTTATTCTTGCCAGGTAGTGCTTCGCGTCGGAAGGTTTCTACTTGAAGTTCTGTAGCATTTCAATCAACTGCCGGTTGGCGGGCTCACATGTATATAGATGCATGCTGCAAAGTCATACTATATACTTGTATTTCATTGTATTTGCTGAGACTCACTTTCGCCGCTTGACCCATTACCTTTATATAGCGACTCCTTTGGGCTCCATCCTTTGTCGACCGACGGTCGGCCTGCCCCATCGGCATCAAGGATTTGGAGTGAGAAGAACGTCGGTATCAGCAAACCTGGTCCCGTGCCACTGGCACAAGATGCTGTGGAGTCAAACGAGCGATCCATTTTAGCCAACTGTTTTCCATCTTGTTTTGCAGTACAGCTTGAGAATCTCAAGCATCATGTGTGTTGACACATCGGAAACTGCATTGTCAAGCTTTTGAAGCCCATATTAGAAGCTCCTATTGTCGACAATCATTCAACACTGAACGGAGGGCAGGGTTCAAGATGCCATGGAAAATGTTTGAAGCCCAGATTTTGAATCTAGAATAGATGTTGAGGCTCAGTTTGTACATCACTACTATTCTCAGGCATTCAGTTGTTCGCAGAGTCTTGATTCCCGAAAAATGTGCCGATTGTGTGCCAGTCCGATGGAGATGTGGGGTCAGCCCTTGCCTGAGAAGATAGGCTGGACATGCTGGACACAGCATGGCTTTGGGACGAAATCAGCAAAGGGAGTGGCTCTAGGGCTATTCTAAGCTCACATGCTGGAGAATGGAGCCAACAGCGATAGCCTCCAACCTAATAGCCATGGCCTCCAACCTTAAGAGCGATGGCCTCCAACCTAAGAGCGATGGTCTCCAACCTATAGGGGGAGAATGGAGCCATTGTTATCCTTCGACATGACTTGCATTGACTTGCTAGTTTTGGTGCCGCTAAACACCAATTGGTTCAGGAGCAGACAGGGAGCCACAGACAATGTATCGGTTTGCCGCACTGAGCCATGTGGGGCAAGGGGAAAGATGCGGAAAGGTATACAAGTCAGCTGGCTGAGGATCGACACGGTTTACATCTAGTGTACCTTTGAGCTTGGAGTAGCTTTCAGAAGTTGAAGATTTGGATTTGGGGCTCTTTTCTTACACCGAATGTGTGAAGCAAAAGGAGTTACATCCGAAGCCTGTGGTTCTCCGAACCGAAGAACCCCGTTCAACCTCACCGACTCACCATGACCAACAACGCAGGCTCTGCTCCTTTGGATTGGCGATCTCTTGGCTTCGAATATGTTCCAACTAAGTCCCATATCCGTCTGGGACTTTGAGCAGAGGAAGTTCTGACAGAAACTGGCGAAAGACCTTGTGGCAGAAGTCAATTCTGGCTGTCCGAGATGTTTCAAGAAACGGAGATTCCTCACCCTGCATGCTGAGGCTTCGCAGCACTGCCATGTCTTGAAGAGTCTTGAGTGTCTTGTGTGCTGAAAGTGAAGTGTAATTTCCAATCTGTGAAAACCAACGTGTTCCGCGTTGCGAGTTTTGCTTTCATTGTGGATGTCATGTGTCAATAGCCTTGGCAGGCTTGGAAGGATGGAGTGTGGGATTCCGGCCACGCATTTCAGGATCCGTGCTTTCCCCAGTATTATGCCCTTGGGGGCATGATGCATGTGCCCAAAATTGTAGTTGCTCCAACCTTGATTAAATGTTTGATTGCCTTTTGGAGAGGCAATTCCGGCAATTCCCATTGAAAGCTGTTGAAGTAAGAAAACTCGGCATCAAGTCAAGACGCCTTCAGCAGTAGAACCGCTAGAGCATCAAGAGTTCCAAGGTACTTGCCGGTGCACATGCTGGCCAATGTCTTCCATTATGGACAAGCACTGTTTGAAGGCTTCAAAGGCGCTACCGAACACTCTTTGATCTACAAAGTATCCTCAGCGACAAAATTCCTGCAAGTAGGCTACCGCTGCCATTGATGTGCGCATTGCATCATAGTGCATGTCAGGTTTCCATACCAAGAATGGTGATGTTTGTACATTTGCCGACAAACTGCCATGGCCCTAGCCAGAAGCAGCGCAATGGGATTTGCATGAAGTATTTTTCTACTTGAGGGGCCTACAAATTTAGCTTTCGAACTCCAGAAATCGTTGTCAATGTCATATGCTTTACATTTGCTCGTGCGATGGGTGGGCAAGCCTTGCACTATTTTTGATTTTGAGAGCATCTCCCAGCAAAATATGTTACAGTACATTATATGTATATTATATATACATTATATAGCGCAGGTGGATTCGGATTGGCCGTTGTGTTTTCTTGGTGTGCAGTAGCCTTGCGCTCAATGCGGGCTGCTAGCAGAAATGTTGAGACTCTTGTCTTGTCACCGATGGACAATCTTATCCTGTTCTTGTACGCACGTCTAAAGTGAGCAAGATAAAGGCCGTAGACACTGGGGTTCTTGAACATTAATTGTAGACCAACCAAACATTCAGATGAACAGATCCTTGTCATTTGCTTTTATCATTATGTTACAGTATGTTTAAGTGCTCTTTGTGAATTAGTTTTGCCCTTTGTTTGTTTGCCCATATTTGATCACCACCAAAGCTACCCTGATTTTCAATTTTTGGTGGTGGTCGCACAAGTCATCCATTTTTGTCACATCGTCTAGCTTGGATGTGGAATAATGTGGAAATTCTCCGAAACTTTAAATCATCCAACTCGTAGAGTTACTCGCCACAAATCCAATGTCCTTTTCAGAGAGAGGCTGGAACTATGTCAGAGTTCATACTAAACAAAGAGTGGTGCGTAAACCCGCGCCACACCTGCAAGCTTGCAAGCCTGAAGCTTCGTGTGATTTTGTGCCAACAGAATTCTAAGGAGTTGGCAGCGCTTGAGCCATGGCTGTCGGCGCTTCCGCATGCCCGAGGCAGCCTTGCATGTTTTGCACGCGTCTTAAGTTGCGTCTTGTGTGCGGAAGACTTGGTTTTGCGGATTGGATTCGACTTGGCACTTGGTGATACTTGTAGCATCTTGTAGCTTAATTTTGATTTCAGGCTCAAGCTCTAAGCTCGTTGCTAACGGCGGGTATATAAGTGTTCGCTTCGAGATCATTGGCACCAAATGAGCTACATATCCTGGTTGCAGGTGCCACTCGAAATATGGGAGAATGCCATCAACGAAACAGCGGACTGCTTGGTGCTAGCTAGTTACTAGTTTCTCGTCGTGGCCCATCAGCAATTCTTTTCAAGATCTTGCTTGCACTTGGATTGTTGGTTTACATGGGCAGTCTTTTTGGCAGACGTGTTTGTTTCTTGACATCATTGCCTACTTTGGCTCAAGGTGAGGGACAATGTGAGCTTCATCCCTCCATATGGTGTGCCTGCAATCAAGATGGAGTTTGTGCAAGCTCGACTTTGTTCGCGATGATGAGAATGCTGTCAGATGCAGTTTGTTGGGAGGTGTATTTTGAATCACTGGTCTTTCTTTAAACCATGAGGAGCCAATGCTTTGTTTGTATATCCCAGCCCTCTCCAAGCCTTACAGGTACTAATGGGTCCCTATATGTGCGACCCTTTCTGTTTGGCAGTGGTCCAAGGCCATACACAGTCGATGTCGCCGTGTTTGCTGATGTTTCTGCTCTGGGTTTTATGTATGTGAATGGGAGTGACTCCACGTGAGGAAGACAATGAAGGTTCGGATTTACCGTGGAGATCATCAAAGACCAGATAACCACTACTATTTAATGCAGCAACGGTTCGAGTTATTAAACTCTAAATGTCTTAGTGATTGGTGGGATATTACAGTACTCACATTGTTCTAAGCACTGCACAGCAAACAAGCTTGCAGCCCTGCCCTGAACACTTGATCATCAAGACTTGCAGACTTGGGTTTGTGTGGCGGAATGGGACAGCGCGATTAATTTTGGTCCGTAATTGTCACGAGAAAGGTTTTCCTGTAGCAGAGCCGGGCTGCATCACCAGAATCATGAAAATTCAACTGCCCAGGAGAAACATGCTTGCATGCTAAGCAGCATGAGGGTAAAAGAACTTCAGAAGGTCTTGGACTTCAGAGGGTTTTGTAAAGTTTTGTGTGTAGAGCTCGCTGTACATTGTACATGTCCGCTTTGGCATCTCTTGGCTGCCGGACCAGCGCACAACTGCACCAGAACTGATAGGGCTGCGCCATTTTGGAAGGCTTGGCGTTGGACCTTCCACTGAATACACCTTCGTGGTGTTTGTGAATCCTGCGCAGACCTGAGGACTTTTTTGTCGGATTGGGCACCGCGAGGAATTGGTAAAGTAGGCCAACTGCTTGATCCTCGAGGGCCAAGGAACGCCGACTGTATCCAGTGTTTGAGTGTGATCAACATTTTGATGCATGTAGTACATGTTTAGCCTGGTTTGGGCGCCTGCCCATGCATGTCAATCCTTGAAGTTGGTTCTTGCCTTGGCTTCTTTGTTTTCGTGTTTTCTGGAGTGGCGCAGGTAAAGTGCATGTTTGGCACTGAGGTTGGCAGTTACTATCAAACCGATAGTGGTGCAATGCAGGTTGACAGTGGGCAGCTTGCTGGGTGTGCGTGGTAGAGCACATTTTGCGGAAGCTTTATCAAAGCACCCTCAATGGCCTCTTGTTGATATGTTATATATTGTGTTTGCGACGGTGCATGAAGGACACTGTATTTTGATATTATACTCGTAACAAAAGACCATGGAAAGACCCTTCGTAGCCTTTACTGAGACTGTAATAGAATTTTGGTGTTGCCCTGCAAGGGTGACGTGTGTGAAATGTATGTAAGGTAAAGAAGGCAAAAAGGTATTTGTTTGGTGGTTGATATCTAGGGCTGTCCATAACTGCTGTGGAAAGCTGTCTAGGATGTTCTTGCGCCTCATGAGGTGGCGCCCTACGCTCATTGTAGTATATGTTAGTGATCATTGCATTTTGCTATAGTGATGCATTATGTTTTTTTTTTTTTAAGATGTATATTTTTCTGATCAGACACATGTGTTTTGCATGGTGGGCACATGTACTTTGACACATGAAAATATAAATTTCTTGTTTTTTGTTTGTTTGTTGCATGCCACTATGGAAGCAAACACATGTTTTTTGAGCACTCACAACAAAGGTTTTTGGACTGCAGATTATGTGTTTTGAAGCGCTGAAAAAGTTGCATATCAGAGTTTTTTTTTGGCAGTAAGCAGTACACAAAATATGCACACATGCTTTTGGAATCCTACACTTATGTTTCCAGATGGGTGCAATGTATACTGGAGATTGAAAGTTAATGATATCACATCTTCAAAAACAACATGTAGGTCCTACAGGAGGCATGATGTAGGATAAACATTACATAAACATTCACATTTATCCTACATATTCTTCAGAATGTGGTAGGCTCATGAAGATATGCTTGCAGTGCATGTGATATCAATAAATTGTGCATTTTGTCAAGACCTAAAGGTGAAAGCAGTTTTTGCCAGACCCAATTCAATGGTCGAATAGGAGTACTTTGACAAACGTTCTTTGTGAATATCGGTTTCGTGCATTGCAACAGATTTGTTTGTCTTCTTGCCAGGCTTTGGACGGATTGGTCAACGACACGTACGACCGAGCCGCACCGCTTGGGTGCGCGGCCAGTGTGACTTTGGGTTAAAGAGATTGACATGCTTTCTATTCGACATTTGTTTATATACATAGTATATCATATGGTATTGACATTGACATGTGCTGCAGAATTGAAGGGATCATTGAACTGGTATTCTATGATACGAACATCAGATGAAATTCTCTGACGGTCCAAAAGGTGCATGGCTCCAAACCTGAAGTAGTTACTGTAGACGTCTTTTATCGTTTCAAGTATGATGCGTTTTTTGCACTTCTTACGAGGCAACAATGCTCCCCTCACACCGTTCTTCTCCTCTGCAGGTGCGGTGACTGCAAAGCTGCTGGCAATTATGCTGCAGACCTCGAAAGCATGCACGCGGCCAAAAGGCACATGGCAATGCGTGGCATGTGGGATTTGGCATGATTGGCATGACTTGACTGGTAAGGTAAGGTGCACAGGTTGTTGGTGCATGGTAGCTAGGCTTGCAGACATGTGACTTGGTTGCTAGGCTTGGAAGATATCGCTTTGCCAGAGGATACACGTTCATAACTTTATCATACTTTATCGTGCCACTAATAGAGGGGAACCCTTTTGTGTAAGGATTGAACTACGTACAGTACTTCCGAGAATTTCCACAGAGTGCCTGGGCCAGACCTTCCCTGGATGTTGGCAGATTCTTTTTGTGGCGTTGGACAGCTATAAATGTAATGTTGCCCACACCTTCGGATGATGTGCAATTGTGGCGCTCGCTTAGACAAGAGCACCAAAGAGCACACGTGTTCATTCTATCCTATTTCATTATTTGGAACATCTTGGAGCAATTGTGTCCAGTCTACTTGCGAACTCCAAAGCTTGCTTGAGTGCTTTTGAAGGCTGGGCTATCCCATCAGTCTTTATCTTGACGCACGAGAACGCCGCTATGTTGAGGAGTTCAACACCTCGAATTTCGTGGCCATCACTAAGGACGAACTGTGTGACATGCACCTGGCTAGGAAGCTTGCGGGATCCAACAACCACGAAGTCAGGAGGAAAGACAATGAAGGTTCAACCTTCCAGCCCATTTCCAAACATGTTTTGGCAGTCGTAAAGCCGGTAAACTATTTCTGTGTGCATGCTACTATCATTTGAGTCGCCAGGAATCATACTAGGTTTTTGGCAACTCCTTGTTTTTTGGAGTCTGGATCGACTGGGCAACTGATTGCAGACTGAACGTTACATATCAATTTCCATCCACGGCATGTCGGATCAGAGACCAGTATTTTTGCCATCGGCTGCGCTTCCGGGATTTTAGCTTGTGCATCTTCCGCGCTTGCCAAGAAGCATGGTGTCAAGACACTGGGCTTGTAGATTCAATTCCATTTGCACCATGTTTGTTCTCAATCAACCTTACTGCTATCGCTGCTTGCGGGTTTTGAGCAACCAACATACCCAGGCCAACCACTGACCACTGTGAATTGGAGCATTTAATACTGTTTGCCTCTATTTGCTAGTTGCCAATTCTTCCTGACAAAAGTTTGGTTAACACATTGCAGTCACAGGTAGATAGGAACCACCAGTACTAGTGTCATGTTTGAACATGTAACATCATGTAACTTTTATGCCAACATATCCACTGCAATGAGCTTTTCCATTTGTCATGTGTTTCCAAGTAGATGGAGGCCGTTGCTATTGCGTTGGAGGCCATCGCTATTGGGTAGGTTGGAGGCCATCGCTAATAGATTTAGAATTTAGATGAATTTAGAATCAAGGAGCTCTTTGCGGGATGCTGCTGATGGCTGCCACTGGCCTTTGTGTGACAGGTGATATGGTGACCAGTAAGCTGATCGAGAAAGCCCATTGGCCATACTGGTATTTGGTGGTTGCATCGTCGCTGCTTGCGGCCGTCTTCAATGGCATGGCTGTCTACTGCTTCAAGATGGAACTACCAAGCCGATCTGACCTGAAGTGGGTCATTTCTCGTTCAGTTTTTGAAGATTTGCACTGGTCTCTTGTCTTTGTTTGTGAGATTGTCTTTGGATATTATTGTTCATTGTTGGTAAAACTTGGATTGTTTGCTTGTCAATCGTGACCTTTGATTTGATTATAGGTTTAGTAAGGGTGTCATGACAGTGTCCTTTCAAAGCAAAGGATCTTGGCGGTGATCGCAGTGCTCATTGGAGCTTCTCCAGGGGATGTGGCAGCGTTGACCAGTGTTGACATCATCGCCGCGGCCCTCTTTGGCCGCGTCTTCTTAAGGGAGGAACTTGGCATTTGGCATTTCATTGCACTTGTGCTATCTGCTACAGGAGCTATTTGTATCGCCCAGCCCGAATTCATTTTTGGGCTTTCAGAGGGTCGGCAACAGAGTCCGTTGGGGTACTTCTTGGCTTTGCTGTCAGGCTGCTTTCAAGCTGCGTCTTTTGTTTGCGCTCGGAAGTCGGCCCACCTTTCAGTTGGCGTCCTGACTTTCAGTAGCTTGGTCTTTGCAGTACCAATGGCCCTGATGCCAGCTTTGCTCCCCATGGGTCCAAAACCAACCTGGGAGCCTGTACTGGCCAATCCAGGCATTGCACTTGGACTACTCACAATGCTCAGCATGTGGACCATGGCCGCCATTGGTCTGCCTGCAGCTGGGGCCACACGCTGCCCAGCAGCGGTAAGCGCAACCGTATTTACCACTGCCTGCATGGTATCTGGCTACATCTCACAAATTGTGTTCTTCAGCGAAGTGCCCAAAGTCTTGACACTCCTGGGTGCTGCCTGTATGCTTCTCAGTGTCATAATCATAGCCCTGCCCTCTACAGAGTCAGAGCCAGAACCTTCGGATGACACCGAGGCTCCAAAAGCGGCTTCAGAGGTACCAGGAGAGGCTTCAGAGACTTCAGATACACAAGAACCGCAGACGGAGACGGTGGAAGCAGACGATGAGACGATGAGTCTTGGATCCTTTGTTGCTTCAGAGGTTTCATTCTGCTCGTCTCATGTGCGACGCCGCACCCGACGCTTTACAAAACCGAAGGTTCTCCCACGGGCGATTGGTGCCATTTGTGCTTGACCCAAGGGGGTCAAGATGGGTCAAGTCTACTTTCAAGACAGCATTTTGGCCTGACGGTCCAATGGGATGAAGGATGACTTTTGTACAGTGTGCATGTACAGCTGGCTCAGTCCAGGTCCTTCTCCCTCTGCTTGTTCGGGCGCCGCTTGCCACAAACAGAGAATGTGTAGCTACCAGTAGCTGTTAATTTGTTTCTTAATATAGTCGCATCTATTCAGCGCGCTCCATAAGGCACAAGGATGTTTGCAAGAGTTTGCAAGGGTGTTAATCATGTTTGAGCTTTGCAAACAAAAGTTGGTGGCCAAGTATGTCCAAGTGAACAAATGAGAGTGTTTCGGGACCCATTGTGCGAGAAGGATGGTCGCTACGTCACACCGGATGCACCAAGAAGCGTGCTGGATAGCAACACCAACAAGGCAGCTTGCATAGATGTCAATTGAATCTTTACGTTGGAATGTCGAAGATAAGTATCCTTGCAGGCTTTGCAGGGTAACATCGGAATGTCTTGAAATGAATCTGCATGATTCTCCTGAGTGTCATGCTTTTGATGTTGCTCTTTTTGTTTTTAATTCAGCATCAACACACGGAGCTCACCTCCGGGAAACAAAACTGCCCGGCAGATCTCGGCAGGTTTTGCAGCAGCTTGCTGTCGATCTCAATCTACCCGTTGAGTGTGTGCCTTATTATATGTCTTCAAACAAGATTTGCCTCAGACTTTTATTCATTTGGGAGAGTTTCTGTTGCTTTTGTTTCGCACATTCTGCGGGTCCAAACACAAAGACATTGACTGAGAAGATCAGACAAACAGATCAACGAGTCGCAGTAGTTCCTTTAATGTTTAGTCTGTAGGCATTCAATGCCCGAAGCTCAGGCGACGGCAGATTGACTTCGAGAAGGAGGCAGGGTTTGAGCCTGGCTTCCAAATCAGTCCACAGCTTTTGTGCAGATTGTTATTTCAGACTGAGGAATGGTAGATGATTAGAAGGTATGCTTGAAGGAACAACAGACTACATGAACTCCTCAACTGTTGATGAGTCAACTGGCTTTGAACTCAGGTTGACAGCTTCGCAGAAGTTGGTGCCGTGGGGACTGCTGTGGTAGTGACACCCATCAGGTGCGCCGTTTGAGGAGAAGTGTCAATACTGATAGCTTTACAGGCTGCGGGTATGCATTTATTCGTGCAATTAATACCGATAGGGTGAAGTGGTCAAGGAGCTGGTTGAAAACTAGCTTTGCCATACTTATAGTAACAAGGACGCTGTTAGGTGGAGGCCATCACAAGTAGGTTGGAGGCCATCGCTACTAGTAACAAGAAGCTACTAGTAGCAAGAAGCTACTAGGTGGAGGCCATTGCTACTAGTAACAAGAAGCTACTAGTAGCAAGGAGGCTTTCCTTGAATGATCAGTGATTTGCTTTCAAGGTCCTTGACTCGCGGCAACCAGACTTGGACTTTTGGAGAGCCAAAGGCGCAAAGTCAAGACGGTTTGAGTTCAACACGACATCGTAGAAATATAGGGATTCACGGCCATCTTGCCGTGATTCCCTATAAGGGTTGTTGCCAGTGTGTGGCAATTTGGTGGCTTGCGTTGCTGGAGTTGCAAGTTATAACATATTATAAATAGGTTGAGTGCTGAGTTCAATGTGCCAGTTTGACGGTTTCCAGCCACGGCATTCTGCATGTTATTGTTTTCTATTTTTTTGCTGTTGGCTTCCATTTTCCTGATGTGTTTCCAATTATATTTACGTGAGATACAAAGATTGATTGCAGTCGCTGGCAGGTCTTGCGAGAGTTGCGTGACAGGCAGAATTTGGAATTACTAAATACAGTTCTGGCAAGTCCAAGTCCATGTACTTCTCAGGACCATTAATACCTTTAAGACCTCCTTATGCTTTGTTGTGTTTTGATCAGACTGCCGGCTACACATAACAGTTACCTGCTGAAGCAAACAGCATCACGCACTTTCATACTTGTCCACGTTCTGTTTTTTCTATGTTCTTCTATCATCAAAAATTGTTGCGACCTTTCTGGGTGATTCACGGACCTTTTCGATGGGGTGTTGTCTTTTTTTTGCACTTCACGACATTCATTGCACCCCCGAAGTGATGCAAAGTTCATTCTTCCTGTGGCTTGTTGACTTCTTTGCAAACACCGACGCAGGGTGCGTGCCATCCAAAATGGAGAGGTCGAGGATAAGCCGCCGCTCTCAGTAACACAAAGATTTGCAAAAGAAGAATAAGCTTTCTTAAGGATATGAAAGAGCTGTGTGTGCCAAGGCATGGGTGGATGCGGCAAATGAAGCTGGATGATGCTCCTCGAGATAAGACCGTGTTGAGCGTTTACCCTGGCCCGAACTCCCAGGTTCGCCGAACATTTGCTTCAGTAGAGTCGAGCAGCTGGCTGTTGCATTGTTCGGAATGTGCGAGAATTGAAATGAATATCTTATATATATATATTATATATACACATAGTATAAATAATATATATAATATATAATATATAGTATTGATTGTAATTGCTGCTTTATTGCAGGTGGTGTGTTGCGGGGTCTTACAACTATTCGTTGTCTTGAAGATACTGTGTGTTCGTCTTATGAATGTAACGGTTGCACTTCAATTTCACTTTTCCAGATTTCCTGGTTCCTGCAGAGTGAGCATTTGTTGAGTGGAAATGCCGTGAAATACAGGAATGGCAGCCCAGTGAGAATTGCACCTTCGAGTTGACGATATTACCAAAAAAACGGAGCCAACCTAACAGTATCTAACAGTCCTTGGTGCTGCCCAGGCCTTTGACCCTCGGCAGGTCTCTTGGCAGACTGATTTGAATGCAACTCAACTTTCCCAAAAACACTCGCAGACTAAGGCACGTGCAAATAAAACATTAGTACTGTTGTGAGCCGAGATGATCCAGCAGGGATACAGGCCCCAGGCGGTAGGTTTTTTTCGTGAAGCATTACCCGCTGGTCTAGAGTCCGCTCGTGAAGAAGACCACTCCCAAAACAGAAAGGATAATACAATGGATAACTTGACAAGTGCAAAGTTCAATTTTGTGACAAGAACAAGGACGCTATTAGGTGGAGGCCATCGCAAGTAGGTTGGAGGACATCGCTACTAGTAACAAGAAGCTACTAGGGTGGAGGCGTTTGATTATGTTTTACCAATACTGGTGCTCCAAGCTTCGGGTGGTTGGTAGTGTGGCGACCCGGGAGCAGGGTCACACGACTGCGAACGCGAACCGGATAAATTGTGTTCCAGCAAGGTTGTGTCTTGACTTGCGGTCCCTCCTGACGGGAAGGTTCCAGATGATGACTTCAAGTCAGCTTGATATTTTCTTGGCATTGAAAGGCACGTTTGGTGCTTCAAGGCCAATATCAGGCCGATTCAGCTGCAAAGGCAGCCTTTTTGCTTTTGATCACTGGCGATCTGTCAATCAAGTGGCAAGACATGAGCACGGTTTCCTTGCTTAGTCATGCTTAGTACACGTGTTGGCAATTGGAGTCGCCTTGTTCAGCCGTTTGAAGGCTTTTGTATCCCAACAGTATGTTGGTGATTGAGAGGACAGGTTTCAAAAGGGTGACTGTTTGGAGGGGAGATGAGCACAAATAGATCGGCATCCGAAGCAACAAATCGCAGAAAAGCACTCCAGCCAACAGAACGGTTTGTTTACGAAGTCCCGCAGACATGCAGATACACGCAGGTAAGACCAAATTAGCACCAAGAATCCATTTGTTTGACTTCATCACTCACATGACCTTTGTTGTTTAGCATGCAGTACCCAGAGGGCAGGGGTGATATTGTGAGAGGAGCAGGTTGTTGCCTTCTCCGGAACTCTCTCCCAATGACACGGTACGAACTCCCTAGAACTGGGCAGTAAATGCTTGTATCACCATCACCTTGTCCCTTTGCGATTGTCAGTTTCAACCCCCAAGGTGTTGGAGTATTAAATCACAAGGTAGGTAGATGTCACAGCTAGCATATTTGGATGTGCAATTTTCACCAGTGTGACAGACTGGTGCAATCTGAATGGGCTTAGCAGCTTAGCAGTGTGCACAGTGTGACCCACATATACCCAGGCGGTCTACAACAATATTGAATAAGATTGATATATGATGTATATATATATATATACAACCAAGTTTCAGACACAGACACAGTGTGCAACTTTGCTGTCCTTTGCCGCTTTTGTTTGTTTGGTTCAGTCAGGCAGAGGAGTGCCCTCGACCTGGATCAATCAAACAACATAGACATGTTGTTCAAAGTGCCCCTTGTCGTCGGTTTTTTGCCTTCAGCAAGAAAGACTTTTCAATGTCTTTAACGAACATTCCATTTATCGATTCCTAGTGCAAATAGCTCCTGCAAAGAGCCACACACACACAGAGTTGAGCAGTCTGGTGTCAAATATACCTGCAAAGAACAGACACCTCAACGCGAGCATGTCGCTATTTGCAGCAAGTCAGAAGCCAAGATGTATATTCTTTTGGAATAAGGTGGGACTACAGAATCATCTTGGTGAGAGGTAAACCGGTCCAATGACCTGAGGAAACCAACCTAATCGTCCCTAATTGCACGAAAGAAGTGTTGCACTTGTGAGCTTCAGTAATTTAACTGATCTATCACCCAGGTTTGGACAAGTTGAAGAAGCGAACGACCGAGCTCCTAGATGGACTCGACAAGGTCAAGGACTGGACGGGCATAATTAAGCATGGTAGCCTATCGGAGCGCTTGTCAAAGCCTCGATCAGCACAAGAATCATGGAGGATCAAGACATGATGGGTTCGATGTGCTCCTTCAACATCCTTCAACTGGGATAGAAAAGCTTATTAGCTCAGCTGCCTTCCTGCGTGAGACCTGGGCAGGATGGCAAAGATGGTGCAAGTGGACAGGTGACCGGGGAGTGACAGCAGATTCTAGTGGTGCATTGAACATGCTGGATCATATCATGTCCTTCAAGCAAGAATCGAACAGAAGCACTTGGATGACTTCGCTCGATTGAACAGGCCTAGGCATGGAAAGAGGCATTACATAATGTAAGTTATTGCTGCTGCAAAAGGGGCCGCTATTCGACGTGACTATGGTTCGGAAGCACTGCAGGCACAGGAACATGGTAGTGCATGTGGCAACTCCACCTCGAAAGGTTCAAAGAAAGCCATTCCAATGCTTGTGTTTCACTCTCATGCAGCATCATTGAGGACGTATATTTGTCCTAAAGCAAGAAGCATTGCTCGCACCCTTGCCTACTGTAGTGGGAATTCGGGGCCATAGTAGCGGAAGCACCAGCACATAAACATACACGGCATGCTGGTCAACGTTGAAGAATTGGTTTGCTGCCTTGTCAGTTCATCAATCACTGGACAGTACATGACAGTATACTAGAAAGTATATACCGATGTATACCGTATAATATCCTTCTCCCCCGACACCGCCGCAAAATCGTCTTGCGGATGTGCCCGAGAATTCGCCCAGCACTTGTCGGGCTTATCAAGTGATGTCAAGTGCTGGGTGAATCCGTAGAGCCATCTGCGGCAGGAAGCGAGCGTTGAGATCCCCTTTGATCCGCAGGCAGCCGCTGTACGTTCCTTGTTGCTGTTCTTGTTCTTCTTGTTCTCTTTTTGTGGTGTTGTTTAAGTGATGCTCAATATATCTTAATATGATGCCTTAAATTCTTAGCAACCACATTTTCCGTGCGAAGACCATTGTGTGCAATATGTGTTTCTTTTGTACAGATTGACCATTAAGAGAGTTGAACGCTTTGCAGAACATCAGGTCGCAACGGCTTTGGGTTGTCCAGATGATAGCATCCTGGTCCGCTACGAGGCTATTGTCGAATCGCGTCAAGATTCGCAAATATATTACTGCTAGTATTTGTGAGTTCCGCCGTCTGCATTGGGAGCAGTTTAAAGCAAGAGAACACACACACACACACCAGAAGGAATTGTTGCTTTGTGCCTGGTGTGTGTGCTTGAACGAATGCACCTCTCTAGCTCCGACCGGACCCCCCTTGTTCTGCATCGACCGGACGCGGGGTTCTTTGAGTTGTGTAAGACCAAGACTGAGCCGTTCATACTAGCCGTAAAAGTGTAAGAGTAGATTTTGGCAGATAGATGGGTCCTCATGTCTGGGAACCGGGAAAGTGTAGGTTCTAGAAGCTAAAGGGTTCTACTGGGGGGCGTTCCTGCATTGAGAGTTGCCTGGCATGATAACAACTATGTGTATCATGTTCACGGAATAAGATAGTCTATGTTGCAGGGGTGGAACATAAACACCCTGTTGTAAGTATGTACATTGTGTATTTTGCGCATTGAATTGAACAACTTTGGACGGAGGACATTCGACCAAACTAAGTGCGCACAGGTCTTTTGAACGATTCTAAAGGATATTCCAGGGTTAAAATAGGGACAAGTGGGTCTGTGTGCGAAGGCTTCAAGAGAAACACAGTTGTCCTAGTACAGTTCGACTGTATACCTGGTGAATGGATGAGATCTCTTCCACCCCGCTGCCTGGACAGGTACAAAATGCGGAGGACAAAGACAGAGAGCTTGCGTTGTACTCAATGCCCTTGAGCATGCTTGGCTTGATTCCACGAATCGGTGCGAAGAGGGAATGACACTTGCACAGAAACTAAGCTGGACGCCATCGCTGTTAGGTTGGAGGCCATCGCTACTAGGGTGGAGGCCATCGCTAGTAGGTTGGAGGCCATCGCTACTAGGGTGGAGGCCATCGCTAGTAGGTTGGAGGCCATCGCAACTAGTAGGGTGGAGGCCATCACAACTAGGTTGGAGGCCATTGCTACTAGGGTGAAGGCCATTGCTATTAGAAACATGACACTTGCTGTTCAGATGCTTGGGAGCGCCAGGGCTCTCCACAGTAGGACAGACATGGACAGACCCATTTTTGTCAATTGTCACGCTGAAATGGGGATCTGAAGGCATGACACTGTACGCAAGATGTCACAAGAACGATGTGGCTTTGTACTAACAATGTAGAAAGAGGAGGTTTTAACGGGCGCAGCATTTTTGCTGGCCTGGCTTGCACTGAAGTGTGAGCACATTGTGGAACATTGTGTTACATTTGCAAGGCTATTGCTTTGAACTGAATGGCCCTGCAAAGAACAGCAGACAGGGAATAAGAAGAAGCAGGACAGCAATGGACAGCAAATATTTCTGATCAATCTTGCAGGGGTCCTAACCGGCTGTATCACTTGGTGAGTTGTGCAATATTATGATTCCACAAGCAAAGGTCAATCATATCAACATGTATGTATATATATATATCGCTGACCGCGGCCAGGTGGTGCGGTCAGCGTGACCGTCGCCATGGCCACGCGTTCGGAAGTTGGCAAAACCTTTTCCTTCCCTGTAATTGTATTTGCGATTACACCATTATGTGTGTTTTTGTTCAGTCCAGATTTCTGACCATGGCACGCCTAGATCATTGGCTTGATCAAGTGCTTTATGTGTTTTGTTCTATTTAAGAGACAAAATAATAGTTCTTCATCAGAATGATTGGACTTGGAGAACGAAAGCGAGTAACACCCACCGTCTTCCGCTGTTCTATTTCTCATTGTCAAAAGTCCTTCCACATTTTAACATAGAACTTTATGGAACTGGAACGCATGGCATGATCCGCTTTGCGAATCTCACCTGTCTCAAGTATTATATAGTGTTAAACAGTGTTACATGCCCTTTGCTTCTAGTATCGTTCTTGTTCCTAGTAGTACGGCCAGGAGCCCCTAGTAGCGTCCTTTGCTCCTAGTAGCGATGCCCTTTGCTCCTTGTTTCGCATGTTGCTTGTTGCATAGTCACTTCGACTTGAGCCTCACTTCGACAAGGTGAGATCCACTTTTCCTCCTCCGGGGCACTATCACTTCAGATTCAAGGCCTTGGCTCGGCGGAGGGATGACAGGACCTTCGAGCCAAACTCGAGGGGTCACTATTGGTCACAGATAACATTCAGAGTTTGCTCGATGCGAAGACAGCACAAACGATGGGCGAGATATTTTTTTCATGTATTTCTCCTGCCCAGGAAAAGTTGAATCGCAGATCCGTCCAACAGTCAAGCAAGCTTGCAAGACAAGTTCGGAGTGTCCTTTTCCGTTCAACTTTGTTCAGATTCCACCTTTGCGGATCATATGTTCACAAAGCAGACAATCAGTCAGCAGCAGAGTGTACATTTTGCATAGCATCATGGACCATTGAAGTCACTGTAGATTGATTGGTCTTCAAGTAGGGGCCTATCACTAAACGACATAAAAGGGAGGGGCCTGCAATGGCGGATGGGTGGCTGGATAAAAGTGCGGGAAAGATCCATAGACGGGTCGGGGCATAGAGAGAAGAGTGGATGGATAAATGGATGGATGGATGGATAGAGATAGAGATAGAGATAGAGGTAGAGAGACATAGACAGACAAATAGGCAATTAGATACATAGATCACCAAAGTCAGCCGCTCTTTTTTGGGCAGGGCAAACAGCAGGAGGGAAAAGGGGGTGACCGAGAGTGTCAGAAAGTGTCGATTTTGGTGTTTTCGTGCAGTTGAGGATGTGCATGTTTGATGGCTTGCATCAGTGCGTAG